CCATATTTGTTTATACTTAGTCAAAGGATTTGGTAAAAATTAATTAAGAAGTTTTACTTTTAGTAAAATAAAGGATTATCAATTAATAAAATTCTAGTAATTAAATTTGTTCATTTTCATGACTTGATGGTTCATATATATAACTTTAGAATGGATCTTCGGTCTTTATAATTATTCTAAATAATTGTACGACAACTCTCGTGTTTAGTTGCCAACATACGTCGAGTTTGAAATCCTGAACAAACTACCGGTGATAAGTCGGAGAAGGTGATAATAATGTCAAGTCATCATGCCCCTTATGCCCTGGGCGACACATGTGCTACAATGGTCAAGACAAAGGGGCGCAATCCCACAAGGGTGAGCTAACTCCAAAAACCATTTCTCAGTTCAGATTGCAACTCACCAGCATGAAGCCGGAATCGCTAGTAATAGACGATCAGTCATACCACGGTGCAGTTGCATGGGAGGATAATATTTTTCCTAAGAATGAGGACGTATTTGGGGAGAAATTTTTAGAAAGAATGAGAATGTATTTAGGGAGAAATTTTTAGATGGTCCAGGACCATTGGCCCCGTGCAATCACTATTGAACAAAACTATATGCTTCGTTTGGTGATAGAAAAGAACACATGAATGAAAGATATTGTATGTGTCATTCTCTCTTTTTATTTGGTTAGATAGAAGAGAAGAAAATAAAATAATATTTTATTTTATTGGTTACGAGAAAAATTAATAGATATATTTATTTTATTTGTTATGAGATAAAAGAAGAGAGATTATTAATTATAAAAATAAAAATAAAAAATCTTTTTCCTTTGCGTCTTCACTCCATATTTAGAGGGATATAAATTTGTAGAAGAAAAAAGATGACTCATCCATCATATTTTCTTATTTCTCTTTTCAAATCCTCTCCACCAAACAAATAAAATTTGTTTGTTCGTTTATATTTTTCCTCCACCCATCTTCCTTCTGTTCTACCAAACAGCAGCATTACTTCCCGGATAAAAAAATCTTCTGAATGGAACAAAACTTAAATTGTCAAGACATATGGCTGCTCTATCAATCTTCCATCCATGCTTATAATTAAGAGGTTCACAAGTATCTTTCGAAGGGCAGCAGTTTTTTTGGGTTGTACACCCTCCTCTACATGTTTCATGGAATTGAAAGAAACTTCTTTAGTTGACAAGAGGTGAGTGTTTGGCTCAAAGTGGGGTCGGTGGTATACTTGTAATTTTTGGAACTGCTAGCGTGCGGAGACCGTTAGCTCCTTTGTGACCGTGAGAGGATGAATGACGTTTGTTTACTGTTTTTGGTCTTAAATTAAAAGTTCAGGACTCTGTTAAGGCTGAAGTGAGTTGATGTGATTGTACTTTAATCAAACCAGGTCGGTTTGATTCGGTTTCATGACTTTGTTTAGGTTGAAGTGAGTTGATGTGATTATACTTCAATCAAACCAGGCTGGTTTGATTGGGTTTTATTAATTTTATGATTTGATTTGGTTCAATTCCATTGATTTTTACAATTTGGTTTGGTCTAATTGCGTTGATTTTTTTTGTTCGATTTGGTTCTAAATTTTGTAAAACCTTTACATTCGAGTTGGTTCAAAATATTTTCAAACTGGTTGAACCTAAACCGTGTATGTTAATGATTTTAACTAAAAAGGGTAAAATAAAAACTCTCACTGCAGGGAAAATTATCAATTTCAATAATTACACACATATATCAGGTATAGTTTAATGGTACTCTTTTATCTTGCAAAACAAAATAAAAAAAAATAAAAAAATAAACACGTATATCAACCGACTGAATTAATTGATATGGTTACAAAAATTACTTCAAATTTATCAAATCATATTATGTGGGGACCTTAGGTGTAGGCACATGCCACAGTTGGACCGGTACGTACTAGGTTGGAGGTCTGGTAAGTTCAATACCAAACAAATCACATCGTTTATGTGAAGGGAGCATCGAAATGAGCTGAAATTTGTGTCTTTTTGTTTCCGTTTTTCTTTGACAAGTCAAGAGATGTCACGTATGAGGTGGTCCCAATCAGTGACTCCTTAAATACTGTTTGTTCATGGGGTTGGTCATGACTTTGACAATGTGTAATCCCAATAAAGCCCTCCTTCACCATCACTTATATACATGCACATGAGGCCCATGTGGGTTGGACTTTATTTTTGTTTTCGAATTTGTGTGTTGGAAAGAAAAAAAAAAAAATCTGTTGGGCCAATCGAAAGTGTTGGGGCCCAAAAAGGAGATGATTGTGACGACTTTGTGACAGATGTGTGTGAGCTTGTACAAGTGACACCAGTAAGTTACTCGTTATTATACTAGGTGAGTTATATGTGTACAATACCACATCGTCTAGGTGTGAAAAAAGTAAATGTTATATGTAGATTTAATACTCTTCTATGATACAACGCAAAGTCGTGATGACTGTGTACTTACCAAAACTCTTAACTTGCCGTATTACCACCAAGAACATACATATGTATTACAGGTTACAACTTACAAGTATTATTTCAGTTGCTTATAATTTCAAATAATAATAATAATAATAATAAAACTTACGAGCATTATGTCACGTTTCGATTCCTAACGACGCCATGAGCATAGAAGACACGCATGCTGGTTGGCTAAGAACATTCATTGATTGGGAATGGTTCCAGGGAAGGGGCGTGTAGGACCACAAGATGTTACCTCTTCAGAATTCAGGCAGGTCGACTCGGTTCAGTTCAAGGTGCTTGTCGCTAGTCGTGAACTTGACTATAAAGAAGGGAGTTGACCGTCCCTGCACAAACTGGTCGGGAGCTGGAGTTGTTCCCTTGTTGAGACCAAGGCAGGTCGAAACCAGTCAGCATGTATCCTTGAGAGGGCAGGTCGTGGTGACTGACCAGGGCGCTTACGCGAGCTGAAACAACGCCTTGGTGCCACACGGGCCGTACCGTTGCGCCAAATCTCTAGGCCCGTGACAAATGGTATCAGAGTAGGACTTGGGGTAAAGCACGGTAGCGTGCCCCCTTGTCAATCCGGGGGTCTTGAGAATGAAGTGGGTGCACTAAAGCGTCGGTGGGCAATCAATGTTGTTGGAGGAGAGCCTCCATCTCCCCATAAAGATGCGTCCTTTGAAGCCGGAGGGCCGCGCGCACCAAAGTTCTTATAAGTTCAAGAGGCATGCAAACCATTGCGAAGGGCGGGTATCAAGTCAGCCGGAGGGCCCTTGTTTGCTCGGGGTGTCGCGGAGGCAGCATAACGTGGGGTTGCGTCCCGAAGAAGTGAGCGTCCCTTTTGCCCGAAACCCTATCATTGGGCGAGTGCAGCCAGGGGTTGTACAAAGAAGCGATGGTGGGCAGGCAAGCATACCACTTGGAGGAGAGAGACTTTGGAATGTTGGACGCAGTGGAGTCAGCGTTGTACTGTGACGAGGGCGTCGCAGGATTTGGGTGGGGAAGAATGTCACGTTCCGATTCCTAACGACGCCATAAACATAAAAGACACGCATGCTGGTTGGTTAAGAACATTCATTGACTGGAAATGGTTCCAAGGAAGGGGCGTGTAGGACCACAAGATGATACCTCTTCAGAGTTCAGGCATGTCGACTCGGTTCAGTTCAAGGTGATTGTCCCTAATCGTGGACTTGATTATGAAGAGGCCATCCCTGCACAAACTGGTCGAGAGCTGGAGTAGTTCCTCTGATGAGACCAAGGTAGGTCAAAACCAGTCAGCATGTATCCTTGGGAGAGCAGGTTGTGGTGGCTGACTAAAGGGCTTGCGCGAGCTGAAGCAACGCCTTGATGTCGCACGGGCCGTGCCGCTGCGCCAAATCTCTAGACCCGTGACAATTATCACAATGAATAATAATAAATTCGGTTGATGACGACCAGGCTACCACAATGAATTATATATATATATATATATAGTGGTGGAGTAGTTTACAATATTGCATTTGACCTTTGGAACCTAATTTGCATTTTGTTTGATAGATATGAGATAAGATTGGGGAACAAAGTTGGTGTATGTTTTCAAACAAATATTCTTGCTTAGAAACTAAAAAATGTTCTAAAACTGTACTACTACGTAATTTTGGAGAAAGCATCACGTGATGCTTGCACGTGTCATGGCCAAAGTGGCAAAAAGCTAAGAGCTCAAAACGCGTTTAATTATTTTTGCCAAAGCCATTATCTCCATCAATATTGGATTTGGGTCCCACTGTTGCCCAAATATGCGCGCCATTAAAAAGATACAGATCTTTAGTAATTAATTCGTTTATGTCTTTATAATCAATTCTTAACCAAGTGATCATATGAATTAATTGAACACCTTTCATAATATTGCAGCAAAAGACGAGAATGCAGGATACTAGGGTGCACTTACAACATCTATTATGAAACCCGAACTCTTTATTTTATTTTTGAAAAAAAGAGTGGTTATGCCAAATGTGTCAATGGCTTAGATCAAGATTTTAATTTCTAACTGAAATATTTGATTTCAAATTCTATGCTCGGTTCGTTAAGAAATAAAAAATTTGGATAGAAAATAGAGAAGAATGAATGGTTGAGACATTCATAAGGAAGAGATTATGTTTTTCCTTATTTTTGTTCAATTTGATTAAAGAAAATATAATAAACTTGCAATTTATTATGTTCGTTCTGAGAGAAAAAAAAAAAATAAAGTTTTAAATTATTTTAAATTTATAGAAGATAGTACGATAATTTAAAACTGTATAATTTAGGATAATATTTAATTTAAAACTTTTAAAATAGTCTGTTTTTTTACAGATTAAAATTTGTAAAGAATGAAAGATAACATATCCCTCCCATTATCATTTCTTTCCTTATATCATTTTTACTAAAAAAAGTTTCTTCTTTCTTTCCTATATATTTTCTTTCTACACCTCTTCCTTCCTTCCTACCAAACAAAACACCAGTGATTAAATTAAGATGCTAGAGAGTGAAAAATGAGAATAATCTTTGACGCAAGATGATACGTGTGATCAATTTTTTGAATTTTTTCTTTTCTCACTCTTTTTCTTTCCCTTTGGAAAATTACAAGTAGGAGAAAAAAAACAAAAAAACCCATAAGTTACATTCGCTTTTGTTAAAGCTCGTGACTTCCTAATATGACAATAGAATAAGCTAAGCTTTAGTAAAACTAATCTCTCTTATTGCAATATTAATTTCTATGTCGACCCAAATTTAGTTTCCTAATTAATTAATTATCCCCACTTAGAAATGCAACCTCTCTCAAATGCCCTCCATTTTCTTCTTGTCTCTCCACTTCAACATGCAAATTTCTGCAACACTTGTTGATCGATCATGTCCAGAGTGGCTCCCAATCATCAAAAGTAAAGCTCCAATTTTCACAGGGTTGCTGTTGAGGGTTAGGGTTAGGGTTAGGTATTTCTTGAGAATGTGACATTTCCATGCAAATCAAGGCCACCAAATTAGATTGTTGGCATTGCATGTTAACTATCTCAGCTTGTGCCTTGGCCAATTCTGCTTGGAGCTCACTCACTTGCTTCTGCAGCTGGCAGATCGCGCCCGCCGCACCGTAAACTGGATCCCTGATCCTCGCATTTGCTTCATAAACCATGCTGCTCACTGCATCTGCCCTCCGAGACTCCGGAAGTTCCTGCAAAATTTTCGTAACGGCGTTTGTTAAATTGGCAAAATTTGATTCCACAACAAGCTCACTGTAATTCATTCAGTTATATCTTTTTTTACCTTTCAAAATAGAAGGTGACGGGTTGATACCCTCGAGGCCAAATGAGTATAATAAACAATAAACTTCTGCATTAGGCTTAGAAGTCATTTTGGACATCTCTTACTCTTGACCTTCTAGTGTGAATAATTTTCTTTGTGAGAGAAGGAAAATGTCAACTTTTCCTAACCACATATCCAAGAGGTGGAGCCCAATTCACCAAAAAAAGGACCTCTGTCCATTTCAAGTTAAATATTACTATAAAATTTAATATAATATTGTAGGATTAAGAAGAAAAAATTAAGTGGGAAAGAAAAAGGAAAGAAAAAGGCGTTTGGGGGTTGTGAAAGAGAATCTACTCGAAGTACAACCTTCACTTTTTCTCTTGCTTTTTCTTCACTTTGTTTTTTCTCTCTTTAACTCAAATCTTTTTCTTTTTTTATTTTCCAAAAAAAAAAAAAATCTTTTTTCTTTATTTTTATTTTTTCTTTTCTTTCTAAAAAATGCAAGCAAACGCGCACACACTTACGACATTAAATTAACATTAGTACCCCAACCAGAACACATTAACATTAGTATCCCAACAGGACTCTAAAACTCTTTAGAGATCGAAGATATGAGAAATTATACAATATGAACCAATGTCCGGACATTGACAACTTGATTATAAGTATTGATTTTAGGATTTATAGAGAAAGAGAGACACTGTGAATCAGATATAAAATTATTGTTAGGAGATCTACCCAACTTGCCCTCCTCACTTAATTTATACAATAATTTATATTACAAGGAAAATGACCAACATGCCCTTCTAAGAAATAATAATAAATTAGCCTATATACATTCTAACCCTAAGAATTTTGAACACACTCTTCCTAAAAGAGGTGAGACTTTTGAACACAAAATAAGGACCTAGTGTTGTGTTCACACTGAACTCAAACGTGAATTCTACTTCCAAATTAAGAACAATGTATGGGCATGCAATTAATTAATGTTACCTGCAACAACTTGATGATGTTGCTAGCTCCAAAGACTCTATGGGCTGTGGTGAACTTGAGTGGCTCAGTAGGTGGGAAGTAGGGTGCCAAAACGCATTTGTCGGCGCACCGTCGCCGGAGAATTTTGCATGCAGCACAAGGGCTTAGAATCACTGGCGGAGGAGAGGGAGGAGCACGTGGAGGAGATTGGGAAGGAGAAGAAGAAGTGGATGATGGATCGGAATATGAGAAGGATGTGGACACACTGATAGGAAGAGTACTGGTGGTCATTTCACCACTGCATTCCATGTTGAGAGAGAGAGAGAGAGAGAGAGAGAGAGAGAGAGAGAGGTGATGAGAGAGAGAGTAGGGATGGTAAACAAAATGAGTTGCTTTGTGGTGCTTTAGTTAGGCTCAAAAGCAGAGAATATATATAGACTAGGAAAGCCCGGGAAGAGGAACATGGAGCGTCATCGTGACATCATCAGAGTGATCAAAGTTTTTAACCTCTTAGTTGGTTTATTAATTTAGTTAATCTTCCCAATGATAAATTACACTTACCTCCCCAATAGTTAGGATTTATTACACTTATTTCCCTTATATTTTGAATTATTACAATCACCTCCTTTTGAGTTGCTAACAAAATGACATTTACTGTTAGTTTTACTAATCGTCTGGCAAAATTTTTAACTTCATATAACAAATATGCCCTTTAATTAAATTGAGGTATAATTATTTTTTCACACAACAAATATTGAATAAATGTGCCTTCTGACACATCAACGTTGACTATCTTTGGCCATAACGAAACTAGAGGAGAGGTTATTATAATAATTCAAAATATAGGGAAGATAAATGTAATAATTCTAACTAAAGGAGAGATAAGTGTAATTTACTCTTTTTAAAAAGTTTAACCAAACACGAGCACGTCTACAATATTTCAGCATTCAATCTCCTCAAACGTGTTTTCTCACGTGGACAAAAGATAAATTGGGACATTTAGATATTCGACCCCACTGCATAATTATGTTCATATAAGAAGTGAATTTTTTTTTTTTTTTTTAGGGTAAGTAATATAAGAAGTGTTATATGTATTTAACTCCTCTCTTCTTTTTTTTTAAATGTTATTACTATATATCCCATTTTCACTTACCAATTATTATTATTATCCCTATTAGTTTTATATGAATGGTAAAATGGAGAATAGGAATTAGGACATGAAAGTGGTAGATGTACGATGACATGACATTCGGTGCCAATGCTAGAAATTAAGAAGGAAATTTTGTCAAGGTTTAATTTTGACTTGGTGGTAGATGTGACTAATAATATACACTATAATACAAATACAACAATATATATAATATACTATATACTATTAGGAGGAGTAGGAAGGAGTACTAGTGGAGTATTAGTTGGGTGAGGAACCGTTGTGATTGGGCTCGTGTAGAACGAGCATTAGACTCTAGCACACCCAAGTCCCCAAAGATTAAGACCTCTAAAAGCGACTTAATTCCTTTTTTATTGTTTTTATTCATGGATCTTGGATGTGAAAAGCCCCCCTCTTTTTCTACTGTGGTAGAAATATATATATATATATATATATATATATATATATATATAGCTAGGTCTATCCTCGATGAAAAATATCTAAATTTACTAGCTTTGCATTTTTCAATATATCTATAGTTTCTACAATCTCCATATTCATGATTTACAAGTTTTACATATGATGTCAATAATAATTGATACATTCAAACTTTTAGGATTACGATGTATCATTATTATTTTTTCATCTTACTGTACCCAACTCTATATTTTATTTAAAAATTAAATCTATTAATTGTTTGCATCCAAATTGTACGCGTCAGCAGAAAGTTGGAAGAGACATGACCTCTCCTACTCCTAATCATGTTAACGGTCTTCGCGGCCATGTCCAACCCTACGATGGCAATAAAGCAGATTCTTTCAATTAAAAACTACGACCTTAGTTCCTTTGACGGCTGGGCGTAGCGTATACAACAAGTTAGGGTCGAACATAACAAATGACTAATAGTAGACAGACCCATCACTGGTAAACTTAGAAGGTCACATCCGTGTTAGTCCAAAGATGACGCCTCACATGTGACGATAACCTTTATCACAAAGCCATCTTGATTGTCCATGTGTCGTGCATCTAACTAATGGCCTGAATTTCAAGCACTATATAAAAAAACACATCCCCGTAAAGAGATCAAGGTCGTACACCAACACAACTGCTCTTCACACCTCTATCCGCCCCTGTGCCATCTATACCTAGTTTTACAATCTTATGCAACTAAGTTCATACTTCACTGCTTTGCCTTTTTCATAGTATAGTTTACAGTCCTTCACTTTACATTTCAAGCTTGTAGCTGGTATTCCATGGTTCATCTAGTGAGTCCTTTATAATGTGATTAAGGTCCTTTTGCGTTGTATGCAGTCCAAGCGTGGTTTATGTCCGTAACTCCAATCTAACACACTTAAAGCTTCACAAAGCCCTCCCAAAGGCTCACCAAATTTCCTATGTGAGACAAGACTTCCCGTATAACATTCTCTCCTATCCGAATTAGTAACGTCCATATTGTGGTTGGGCCACCCTGCCTAGTCGGATACCTCTGAGTTGGACACTTGGCATGACACTGAATTAGGATTGAGTATGACTCTAATAGCAATTGTAACAGACTGGGTGCTTCGCATTCTGATTAAAAAATTTAAGATATTAGGTAATACTAATACTCAACTCATATATATACCTAATTACTTCCCCATCCGAATTCGATGAACAAGACTCTCCTTGTAACACTTACCACTCGAGCCAACAGTGCATTGATTAAATAATGAGAAATTTTAAAAACCTTTTCAAACCTATAATAAAAACTAAGTACTATTTATACAGTTCTACTGTCGATCTGATCCTTTAATAAATTAATAGTAACGATCATATGGTAATCTTATTTGAAAGTTTTGAAAAGATTCACATCTATGTACTTTTAGTTTTGAATTTCAATCCCTATTGAAAACAAAATGGCGCCACTGAACTAACCAACCAAGATTTGGCCCCTTATAAGAGAATTTAACATCCATATCGTTTTAAAAATTGAGACTCTCTCTAGGAGAGACTCCGGGTGGTGAAGTGAAAAAATGACTCTCTCTCTCTCTCTCTCTCTCTCTCTCTCACACACACACACACACCCCTAGAGAGAGAGAGGGGGGGGGGGGGGGGGGAATCAAGTGGACCAAAGTTAGAAGAAGTAAATGAGTAAACAATAAAAAGAAAAAGATTAATGAAGTGGGATTTGTTTAGTCATAAACTCCATTATTCAACATCCACGATTCTTCGGATATTAATACTGTAGTTGATAATGTCCACTCAACTTCATATTACAGTAATATTTGTGTAATTAAGGTCATTATCACCAACATCATGTAAATGTTAATTTTGTTCCACCTAATGCAAATACTCAAATTATTACTCAAAATTATTGGTCTAGCTAGACCAGTAAAAGTCAGGCGTTACCCAGACATGATGTATTTTGGCCCCTGTTAAAGTTAGACAAAATCAAATTAAAAAAAAGGATAAAGTGCATTAAACCCCCCTGAACGATTGGGGTATGTGCAAGAAACCCCCCCTGAATTATAAAAGTTACAAAAAAACCCCCTAAACTATTGAGGTATATGCAAGAAACCCCCCTGAACTATAAAATTTGCAAAAAAAACCCCCTGAACTTTTGGGGTATGTGTTAGAAACCTCCCTGTACTATATATTTTTTTGCAGTTTACCCCATCTGCTCGAATTGATTGACTGAAAGGGACGATGAAGCCGAAGAATCTGTTGCTGGGATCGGTGGGTCTCCTGTCATAGCTCCATCATAGCTGTTGCACCACCCGCCAGATCTGTCAGCCATATATATCGCACTTCTCTGCACCGTTGAGTCGGCCAATCGTCGTCACCGCCTTGCCCGCCGTTCAACTCACCTTGCTCGCCGGTCCATTCCAAGCTCGCCGACCCATTCCGCTATCTCCATAGCTGAGCACACCGCCGTCCGTGTTTCGAGCAAACAGTCGTCCACAGTACACCGCCGAGCCCCCTTGAGCTCGTCGCTGCCTCCACAATTCACAGCCAAGTCAACCAAGCTCTCATCACAGCTAAGTCTTCCGCGTACAAGCTGTCATCATCCGAGACCAAGCCATCCCGCCGACCTCGGATTTCTTTGGTCTCTTCTCTCTCTCTCTAGCTCTCTGTTTTGGGTTGTGTTGGGTGAAAAGCATCTTTTGGCAGGGAAAAAAAAAATGTAAGAAGTGTATAAGTTAAAACGACGCAATGTGTTATAAAGGTAAACTGGTCTTTCAAAATTTGTGATGCCGGAAGCTGATGTTATGGGGGTAAATTGCAACAAAATCATAGTTCAGGATGGTTTTTTATAGTTCATGGAGGTTTCTTGCAAATGACCAATAGTTCAAGGAGGTAAATTGTAACAAAATTATAATTCAGGGGGGTTTTTTGCAAATGATCAATAGTTCAAGGGGATTTAATGCACTTTACCCTTAAAAAAACGATATGGTATTTCCAATAAAATATACTCTGTAATAAAATATGGAACATTTTCAATCGAGTAAATTTTAGAAACTAAATATGAACAAAGGATGTTTATAAAAACAGTGACCATAAAGACCATTATACCATTAGTCCACTACACAAATGGACTAAACCTTCAGTCTTTCATAAATTTGAATTCATTTTTCCACCCTTGTCAATTTAAATGTAAAAATTGGGTGATATGAATTTGGGACAAAAATAATAATGAAAAAAAAAAAAAACTATGAACAGGCCTAGATGTAAATTACAAAACCAACGGACAAGTAACCTAGCAGTATCAGTCTTTTATTTTCTAAAGAAATGAAAGTCAGGAATTCAAGTCTCAAGACAGATAAATGTGTGTGAGTAACAATTAGAAAAGAAAAAAAAAATGTAAATCACAAAAGCTTTTATAATAATGTTTGAGCTCATTCACACACCCTAGTTGACAAAAACAAGTTTCATTTTCCTAGTAACTAATTCTGATAACACGTTTAATTTTAGTCTGTACAAATTAATAAAAGCAACTTGTATATATAAAATAAAATAAAATAAAATAAAAACAACACCACTTAGATCCATCAAGAAAAGGAGAAGAGGATCCCTGTGCTCCAAAACCGTGTTTTAATTGGTGCATGGGCACGGAGCCCAGCGCAGATCCTAGGCTCCATGCCAAAATGACACCGTATAGGACGTAGAGAACCAAACACAAGAGGGGCACCTGTATCCATGAAAAGATATGCAGAATGATGAGTCACTAGATTTACCTTGGAAAGAAGACACTTGTCGCGTTACCCGTTGTGTAAATCCAGCCTGGCTTCCATTTGTAATTTATTGAATAAGGTCCACACGTCATTGCTTAGTTGGACTTCAATTGCAGAATTACTCACACGGTTTCTGACCATTACCCTGCACAGTTTTCAACCCTTGAACCTCTAGAGAAGTCACAGGTATCTAGAGAAGAGAAGTCACAGATATGACCAGCGCCGCTGAGTTAGGCGGTTATCTAAAGTCCCGATCAAGAAGAAAGTTTCATAATTTTTTATATATGTATATATTATAACTTTTTTAAACTAATTATAATATTTTTTTTAATTATCAATCTTCAACATATAGAGAAATTTGACAATTGACAGAAAAAATTTCTATTCTTTAATTTTTTTGAGGCCCCCAAAATTTTTTTCTCTCCCCCTCTTTCATCCTCGTTACATCAGCATATATACACACATTAAAATTAAATATTAAATATATATTTAACTGAAAATTGATGAAACTTTTTATATTTTTCTAAGACTCCTATTAATTTTTATTTTATTTATTTATTTATTTTATTCCTCACATATTTTTTCTCCTCTATCATTATAATTTTTTTTTTTTCATATTCTCCACAATTACAATTTACAATCTCACAATCTCACTCCAGAAGCAGATTTTTAATATACTTATATTCTATTAAAGAATTTATTGGAGCATTAGACCAAATTTTTTGAAATCAGTTTTTATTATTCTATAACTTAAATTAGTTTATAGTTTTATTAATTTTTGTTATCATTTTACAATTTTTATTTATATTGTTAAATATGACTATTAGAAAGCACATAACCAATTAATTAATGGATGCAACTAGAGTTTGGAAAATTTTTAGTGAGAGGTTTAAAATCACTAAACAAATAATTAACTGACATAAATATATGAATAGATTTAATTAAAAGGCCATTTTTTTTTTTTTTTCTAAGGCCTCGTATTGTATGGAGCTGTACCCGGATCTGACCAATTTCTAAAATATACTGTGTTTGTGTGCGCGTGTTTTTTATGGTATTCTAAGTGGGATAAAGCTGTGAATTATCAGCTCAAGATAGGATGCCCATATAAACAATACCAATCAAAGTCACCAAGAAAAAGGTTAAAAGAGTCAACAAGGAATATTGATTAGTGCAGTAGAATAAACTCAGATGAACAAGTACAATGACGCAAATTAAAATATAAGACCAGTCACTTTATGCACAAATAAATAAATAATAAAATAAAATATAAAATAAAAAAGAGGAATGCATTTCCAGATTTTCCAAAAAAAAAAAGTTTCGGCTAATTTTATCAGTGCCATGGAATTCCTCCTTGCAATATTGAAAGTCAATGAAGGCACACGATCAGATTTCCAAGTACTTGAGCAAGTACTTGGTATAGTTTTGGCAACAAACACTAGGTTGTACTAAAAAGTTGTGAATTAACCTATGGTTTGCATCAAGGTAGATGCATGTGACATTGTGTGTGTGTGTGTGTCCATGGTTTTCTACACTCTGCTAGAAAATGTGAATGTTTGACGCTGTACTACATGTCAATTATTGGAAAAGGTTGGAGGCCACTTCTCCTACCCCAACTTGTAAAATAGAGTAAAGTCCTCCTAAAACCCCTTTATAAAAATACTTTTCATACTAGAGATTTCTATAAAATACAATCAATAATACAATCAATAATACGAGTGCATTATGGGAATCAAAAACCCAAAAAGGACACTGAAATAGCCGCAGTCTTGACTCTTGATCAATATAAAACACAATCAATAATACAAGTGCATTATAAAGCTTACCAATTGCAATGAACAAATCATTCAAAAGTCGCAACAATCTTATAAAAGGTGAAGAGAGATGTCACATACAAACACACATTCATACACAAGAGAACAAACAAAGAGGAAGATGAGATGGAAAGATAACATGGAAAAAAGGTAGGTTACAATGGTAGAGCATATTGGAGACAAAGATAATTGCCCTAATAAAAAATTCTTCAAAGAAAAAGTTTATTCTAAAGTTGTGACTTTAGCAACTAATACAAGAAGGCAGGTGTCAATGGTCTTGACTCCGTGTAGATTCACCTAGTTGAGATAGTGCTACATTCTGCTGACCTAATCACCATCTTCATTAAAAAAAAATGACACAAATCTTCTTTTCTTAAATCTGGTCTATAACCTTTTTGCGAGTTCAAATTAAAGTAACAGATATACTACCAATCCTTACAAGCCTGTTTGGGTTTTGCATCTATTTGTACTTTAACCCTTTGGACAGGATTCGAGGGCTGATATCTTACTTGATGAAGACAAAAGTAAAGGATATATTCACTTGCATTACTTGATTCAATCTGTTGCTTGAACTTGTATGAATCATGAATGGATCATAGGCTAAAACTAAATCATCTGAGAGTGAAAATGTGCATAGCACATAAGATGAAGAATCTGTCTTCCAGATATGTGTTGTACAGGCTATGAGTTACATACAGCAACAATCTAGGTGATAACAAATTAAGAAGATCATAACATGGTATCAACAACTGTGACAGTTTTAAAAAAGAAGTAAGCTCATGTATAGCATCATCTGGACCTAAACCTTTTGCTTGTTGCTTCCCGAACTCTTTTCTCACCACTTGTATTATAATCAGAAGTCAACATAAAAAATGGTTAATTATTTGATCTTTTAATTGCCTAGGGAAGACAACAATTTCCTTTTTGGTTTCAATACATTTTAATATGTTTCAGTATTACATTTCCCTGTGATTTACTATTGGTTAGGGTACATTATTAGCCCTACAACGGAGCATTAGCTGATGAACAACCTCGAATATTTTAAACATTACATAAACCCTCATATTGTTTGGAAAACCATGCTAGCATCTTGAGTTTTTAGAAGTGGCCTAAAAAACCTGTAATTTGCTTTATCCGGAATGCAAAGGAAAGTACTTATGTAAAGCACCAGGTATAGTCCAAAGTATTTCTGCCAAACAATAGAGTGTTTTGAGTAATGTTCAAAACAGTAGGGTACTTGCAAGCATCACTTCCAGGTAAATTACCCACTTAATTAATCATCGAGAGATAATATTGACATGAAATGTGACTTGACAATACTCAAATGAATACTTCGCCTTATAGCAAGTAGAATCAACCTCTTCTCTTCTTCTTTTTTTATTTTTCTTTTTCTAACTTTTTTGATAAATAAATACATGAAGTTTTCTACTTTAGGAGTCCCTTTAACAGCACAATGACCAGCACGGAGTTGAATTTTTATACACTAGTATAATTTCAATGTTTAAATTTCACATTAAAAATAAATAAATAAAATAAATTAAAATAAAAATGGAATAGAAGTGTTGCATCTATATGAAAAAGCTTGCCAACTAGTCCCAGTAGTTGCTTCAAATTGCACACTAAAAACTGAGGTGTTTCACTCAAACATTAGCCTCTTCTATACTAACAATAAGATGAAACAAAATATTGATAATATATAGGGAAAGCTATAATGCTTCTTCTAGCTGTTTATAATCATTAACAACAGCAAAGCAGGGTACTTGTAACAGAAACATTGTTGCTTTCAACTTGATCAAGAGTAAATATTTGTATTATAACAGTGTAATCATTTATCAAGAATGGAGATTCCGCTGACAAGAACAAACCAAGAAAGTTTGGAACTCCTACCTGGAAGAACCTTCCATCACATTAAGTAAACAAAATCATCACTACTAGATCAAGTAAACGTTGTTCAAACCGTTGGCTTCACAGCATCAATATCTGAAGTTTGTCCTGCAAATTAATCAGCTCCTCCTGGAATGACATTGTCTGGTAACAGCATACCAAATTAATAAATACAGCAATCTTTTTAAGGAAATAAATTAGTATGAAAAATAAATAGTTTTCCCTTACTTTCTCCAACAAAAAGTCCTCAACTTTTGGATGATGATAAGCTTTTCAGCTGTAAAATCACTGTCCAACACATTGTTTTGCTAGATGGTTAGCCAGCTGAAATTTATCAAAAACTAGTGGCTGCCAAACAATAAATAGGTGTAATTACCTGTTGAAAAACAAGGTATGTAAATAAATGACCTCGAGAAAGTTCATTGTTTCTGAATGTGATACTTGGACCTGCATGGTGACCAGAAAAAAAAAAAAAAAAAAAAAAAAAAAATGTGATTGCATAGCAGAGCACAGAAATTTAGTGACCAGAACAATAAGAGAATTCCATGCCTGGAAGAGTTAAAAAATTAAATAAAATAAATTGGCTGCACTTACAAAAGTATGTTAAGGGCAAAGAAGTAGATTTATTAGAGCAATCAAACAATATTTAAAATAATTTGCTCTCTCCAGATGTGCAAAGATGTGAAAGAGTGCCATGAAATATCAAAGGGGAAGCTACTTATTCTGGATTAAGTGAGAGATGTACAGTTGCACAAGCACCCTATGAATTTAGGTTATGACAAGAAAAACTTGGTGAGACAGGGTTTGTGTCTGTCACCAAATCCAAATTTAAGGTTATGTTAGAATGGTTTTACTAAGTTGAGAGATCAGAATACCAGTAAAAATGAATAACAGATAATAAATTGTTGCATTTATTGCTAGAAAATAACACTATCCCAATATATTTTATGTAGGAATTCTGATATTGTTTTAAAAGAGCCAAAGATATAAAAACAATCATAATCAAATTAGAATTTAAGTATAGAATTTGGAATGGAGCAGGATTTTTCTAGATAAACTGCAAATTTAGAGTAATCGTGAAATGGAACTTAGTGGAGTAACACCACCCAAGGACTAGCAATCACACAACATATTCAAGAAATATTAACATGCACCCACATATTGTAGAGTTGCACAAACTTCAGCCTCTGCATAAGTAAAGGAGACTCTTTAAACATAAAGATAAGAAAACTGGACGATGTTTGACTACCAACTTATGAGTAATGTCAAGAACACGTATATGATAAAGAAAAAATATAAAAATAAAGATAAAAATGGTTAATTTCTGAACTAGGATCCGAAATAGGATTATATTGTAGCAAAATTAAATCTATGATTTGATTAAATTAATCATAATATTACAACACATGAATGCGAAATTACAAAGGTACCAATTATCAACACCATATAATGCGCAGATAGAGAACTCTAGACAATATCATGGACCAATACTGAGTACTGAGCCAACCATCAGCCATCCTTGCCATTGTTGTCATTCCCAATCTTCTTGTTCATCTTGATCATATTCTGTCTCTTCAAGATCAACTTCCCCTTGTACCCATTCTGCTGCTACTTCACCATTCTATTCTTCTTAAAAATATCTTCCAGGTGTTTTTAACATCAGTTTTGAAAGACACTCATTTTACTTCTTAAAGTTGCGCCAAAGATAGCTACCCACGTCCTTGTATGAAGTCGCTTCTCACTTTTCACCTTAAAACTCTGCCAGAGATGCCACTCTGATCACTGGATAAAAGTATCTCTGGCCAAATGTCTAAGCATGAAATTTCAACTTTGGAAATAAACCCATTTCTCAGATAGCCAGTAACCAATGTTTTGCAGCTCATCAAGGTAGTCAAGAAAATGGGAACTCTGCTTTTTTCCAATCTCATCTTCAAATAAGGTAAGGGTGAAGTAAACAAGACAAAGTCATCCAGCTGCTTCATCTTGAGCTAGGTCCCCTTTTCCAGTGATCTGTCACTTTTAGCAGATGTCAAATTAACTTCTATTATTAACTATCGACGAAGTAAGACAGTTCATCATGCACAGATTTGATTATTTTTATGTACTCCAGATGCACTTTCAATTTGGTATAAGAAACATTAGGTTAATTGGCCAAACTTTTGCCTATTATAGTGCTACAGAAGTTGCCTCCACTTATACATTAGGTCAATTTGTCCTATGTTAGAAGCTAGTAACATAAGAAAAATATCAATGTCTCATAGTCTTAAAGAAACTAGCTTCTCTAACAATTCAATCGCCTTCCTATTCCAGGCCCATATGCAAAGAAACGCCTCCCAGCTATTAAGTACAATAATGAATCTGCCTTATGTATATCGGGATCTCAGTTATTGGCATGAAGTACATGGAGGTTAAGATTGAAGACACTGTCGAGAAGGTTTTTATGTTCTTTAAATGGTAAAAATATATATATATATATACACACACACACACACACATATGTTCGTATGTATGTATGTATGCAAGTATGTATACAAGAGAACCTCCCTAAGTAGAGAGAAAAATCTATACCTGGATTCCTTGCTTGGCTGAATTACTGCCAAACATGACACATGTAATGATGCCAGCCCACTTCCCTTTGACAAGGAAATTAGCCAAAGAAGGAGGTAATGTAATTAGGCTCCCTTGAATGTACCTTTTCTCCTCTGGATGAGTCCATTCATCAAAGTGATATAAGTGGATTTACTTATGGGAATACCCTTCTGGATCAGTTCGTTAACCATATGCATAGCATCCTTGTATCTCCCTTTAGTACAAAACTCTTTTATCTGATCTGTATAAGTTACATAACTTGAATCTGATTCATCCGGAGTTTCCCTAGTAACCACATCTTGCTCCTCATCCATTTGTAAAGGCTGCTCAGATAATTTTCCCATCTCACCCACTTTTGACATTAACTCCTCTGCTTCCTTGATCCTCCCAGCATTGGTAAGCGCTTGGAGAATAGCATTATATGTATAATGATCAGGCCCTAGTTTCTTTACCTGCATTTCTACAACAAGACCCAAAGCATCCTCAAGTCTCCCTTCCTTGCATAAGGCTGTTATCAATGTGTTGTAGGTTACAGCATCAATGGTTTTACCTTTTGAAATCCAGGTGTTGAAGAGCTTAATACCTTTTTCAAGCATCCCCTCTCTACAAAGGCCACGAAGAAGAATATTACATGTGTAGACATCAGGCTTAAATGAATTCTCGACCATTTTATTGTGAAACTGAAATGCTTTCTCAACATTTCCCTCCCAGCAGTACCCATGAATAATTGTGTTGTAAGTGGTTTCATCAGGCACCAACCCATTTTCCATAAGTTCATTCAACTTAGTTACTGCTTGCTCAGTTTTTCCCAACTTGCAGAGCCCTCCAATAACGGAGTTATAAGTGACAATGCTCGGAATGATCTCCCTTTCCTTCATCTCATCCCAAAGCTTCATAGCTTTGTCTCCATTTTCATCCTTGAAAAACCCCACCATCAATGTTCCATAGGTTACTTCATCAACAATATACCCTCGCTTATTTGCACGGGCAAGTAACTCGTAGGCTTCATTAAGCTTTCTCTCCCCGCAAAGAGTGTGGAGAAAAGTATTGAGGGTTACAGTATCCATCTTCAAACCTTTGCCACCCATTTTATTCATCATATTAAAGGCTTCCCCCACTTTACCTGCTTTACAGTACCCATTTATCAAAGTATTGTAAGTAACACAATCTGGGGAAAACCCACTTTCTTCCATCTTTCGAAAAGCATCACCAGCTTCATCCATCTTTCCTTCCTTACAATACCACTTAATCATTATATTGTGAGTGACCTCATTCTGTTTCACTCCTTTCTCATTCATTTCGTCAAGCAACTTGAACGCCTCGGATTCATTTTTCCACTCAAGGGACCCATTGATCAATGTATTATAAGTAACCACATCGGCGAACAATTTCAAATTTTCCATCTCATTTTTAAGCTTAAAAGCCTCTTCAATCTTTCCCTCACTACACATCCCATTAATCAAAGTATTGTAAGTCCACATATCCGGCACAAAATTATTCTGCATCATCAAGTCAATAACATTAGCAGCTTCCTTCAACCACCCCATTTTACAATACCCATAGACCAAAATATTATAAGTGTTCTTGTTCGGCAACAACCCAGTATTCTTCATGTGCATCAACAAATCACGAACATCATTTAACCTACCTTTCTTACAAAAGAAATCCAATAACGTATTATAAGTAACATTATCAGGCAAACAACCGTATTCATCCATTCGGTTCAACAATTCCATAGCATCTCCAAACTTATTTTCTAAACAATACCCTTTAATCAATATGTTAAATGTGTTCGCATTTGGGACAACCCCAAGTTGAATTACATCACAAAATATTTCCCTAGAAAATGAAACCGAATGCGAAGATGGGTACTTTACCAACGAATTGAGGAGCACATTGCACGTCTGAGTATTTGGGCGAAGCCGGAGCCGCTTCATTTTCTTGAAAACCTGCAGCGCAAGGTGTGGCCGACCCAATTGAACATATGCACCAATCGCAGTGTCAAGCAGGGCTCTCGATTGCCTAGGGAACGACGCCGAGGGGTGTAGGAGGGACCGGTGGAGGTCGTGGTGGCGATCGGTGGCGATGAACTTGAGAAGAAGCGACTTGGCGTCGGTGAATTTATTATGGCTGAAGAGGGAAGCGAGCAGAGTGAGCAGAGAAGGTAGGGTTTGAGTGGGATTGTGGAGAGAGAAAGTGGGTATGTGGTTCTGGGACCAATTGAAGAAAGAGAGGAGAGTGTTGGGGCGAGAAAATAGTGTTTGGGAGGAGATTATGGAGAGGATGATGGGTGGGGTGAGGTGGGGGATGAATCGGGTGAGAGCATGGAGTGAGGCTTTGTTGGAGGTGAGAATAGTAGTGATGTTTTGAACGATTTGAGGGTTCGTTAATGGAGATTTTGGGCCAAGTGGTGTTGAGGGATTCATTCTCTGGTTCTAGGGTTTTGACATGGAGTGAAGAGAGGAGAAGAGAAGCTACTGAGAGAAACTAGAGAGAGAAATGAGAACTTTTTCTTTTTCTTTTTCTTTTCTTTTTTATTTTGGTATAATAAAAATTCTCGAGACGCCGTCGTTTTTATGGGACACTGAGTCTGATGGAATCACAACCGTTGACTTTCTTATCCATCACTGTTAACGAACGGCTAAAAATTCTCCAACTCCAACCTGAAATTTGCGGGAATATGTTCGATATATATGTATATACATATATATATATAGATATATGTCCATTAAATAGTAAATTTGTTCATATTCCCTCTCAAGAGATGGAATTCTCCGGCGGTACAACGCCACCGCTTGCGGTGGTGGAGCTCAAACCCATCGAAGCAACTCCGGAGACCTTCGAGGAGTTTGGTCAAGTGATTGAGGCATCGCCGGACGGCGACGAGTTCGGACCTCGAGATGCCCAATTAGACCTCAGTAAAGGAATCCCAAGGTCCTCTCTCTCTCTCTCCTAGGGATTTTTGTTTCGTATACACACATACGTCTTCCACAAACTTGCACATGCTTATTTTGATCAGATTTGAGTCAGTATTAGAAGTTTTTCAATACAAATAGTTATATTGGTTAGATTGCTGAGTTTACTTATTGGACCATAGAGCTTTTGCTAGTCAACAGTTCGGTATTACTAAAGTTATCATAATTATTGAAATTTCTTGTTGAATTTATTAGTTCAAAATTTTTGAATTTTTTCTTGATTTTTTTTAGTTCTTCAAATTTTGTGGCCTTCCAGCTGAATTTTGTCCTCCATTTCATCAAACACCACATTCAGTTCCACATTCAGCCAAATTTGCACATATTAATGATGTTTTATCATATATGTGAAAGTAGAATGAAAAATATATGCGGACGTTTTCCAGTGGTGATTGATTGCACTAGACATTTAAAGACAGGTTCTCTTTGTTAGCATTGTATTGACAAGAACACCGGCAAAATGAAATAATAAATAACCATGATCATATGCACACAAGTCACAACCCTAGGCCTGTGCTCTATTGATCCTTAACATGGATTCGTGTCCATCATGCTGTTACTTACTTATAGCTAATGCAATCAAATCATTTTTCTTACTAAGGTTTAGTAAGGAGTTCCTATCGATAAAAAAAGAAAGAGAAAGTTGAATAAGGAGTTCTCGGTATTGAATATATGCAATTTTTTTAGGTTCTACATTATGCATCTTGAAGATCGGCCGCTCAAGTTCTCTACAATAACACATCATGCAAGTGTGACCCAGTGTTTAGGTTCAATTGGTGGCCATGTTTGGTATCTTGGAGTTGCAAAGCAATCCATACTAGACCCGAATGAAATTAAGGGCAACAGGGATGTGGATGTTGTTCAGTCAAACTGTGGTCATTTTTATGTGCCGCCTGCTGTAGGTGATGTGCGTGTTTTCAAAATTGTGGGTCCCAAGTTTTTGAAGCTGAATCGAGGTACATGGCATGCTGGGCCGTTGTTTAAGGCGGATGAGATGGACTTCTACAATCTGGAATTGAGCAATACCAATGTGAGCACTTCTCACTCTCCACTAATTTTAGATGTTATATGCCTTTGTGTATTTGCATTAATCCTAAAATCACTCACTTCTGACACTTAATTTAGTTCATGGTGTCCCATATTTGAATAACTAATCCACACTACCTTTCTGGAGGATTTAGATGAAATTCAATTGAAAGGATGGTTGATGTCCTTCATATACAGTCATGATAACAGAAAAAAGAAAGGTTTTATGGTGCTTGTCTGCCAATGCAAAATGGGAGGGGTAAATTGGGTCTTTGGTATTACTTACAAAGTGGCAACCCTTAAACTAGAATCCACATGTTAGCAGTTGCCAATACGAGCTTTTATCATTGCACCAGGCGATGATAAAGGACCTCCATCAGTTATGACCTTGAGGAAGCTGAATTTGTGATGTCAAATCTTGTTACCCCACCCAATTAGGTGCATATTTGTCAATTTATTTGGATCTTTAGGGGTGTGTATATATATATATATATATTAAAATCACTGTGCTTTAGATTTGAGCTACATGAGGTGGTTGTGAGTGCCACAACTTTCCAATTAGGCAGTATTTTGAGTATTAATGCATTATAATTGGATTTCATTCAAGGAGAAAAGTTAGCTGCTACTGCATTTTTTGTGTTGAGCTGTGTGATACTGACTTGAAATAAGATTTTCTCATTAGAATGTCTGAACTTAATAAGAATTACTTGTATATTAATTCTATATGAAAAATATTAATCCACTTTTATATTGAATGAATGACAAAACAAGATTCATGTTTCTAATCCCGACTGTTTGGACGAGTCTTTATTGAGCTCACTGGAGCTGTTTGTGGTTAAAGCTTCATGTGGCTACAGTTTCCTGTAGGTTGATTGATTATTGACCATATCTTGCAATTCTTACTTGCATGTACACACTTGTAAACATGTAAAATTATATAATTACAGCCAGCATGCTATAATTTTATTCAGCTCATTACATATCTCTGCCTTGGATTATTCTATTCACGCATTGGATAAGTATCTAGGCCATAATCACCTAGAGGGAATTTATATATTAGTTAAACCACGGTAACAGTGGTATACGTGTGACAAATTAGTATAATTCGTGAATGAGACAATATTGGACTCAAAATTTTTGCTACATATTGATCAAGTAAAAATTCTTGTTTCATTAGAAACATTCAATGTAGGCTGGGAATATTAAATGAAATTGTGTGGACAAAGCAAGTGTAGGTGTATATTTGTATTCTGTTTTAGCTCCTTTTAGTATACATAAATCTAATCTTCATTAAAACGTGAATAAATTTTACATACGCCTCCCTCTTTAAAAATTCAATGGATTAATCTTTCTTGCTGGATTGATTCTTCATTGCAAATTTCCCTGTAGAGAAGGTTGACCTGGAGTCCTTAGCTGTTCCCCCTCCCTTTTCCCTTCCTTGAAGATAGAATAATCACTAAGCATTGTTTCCTCTGCAGATTTTAGTGGGAATGAGAGTTTCGTTTTGAACCTGATCTCCCAATTGCTGTTGACAAATTCTTATGACCTGTTTCTGATCATTGAGAAAATCTTGGCTCTCTCACTGACCATTGTCCTGAGAAAATTATGGCTTAAACTACTAATAATAGGTGTGGTTAGTGGAGTGGAATAATTTTGGGAGTCAGTTGCTATAATGTCTAACTGAGAAGAACCAAAATACAATCTAGAAAGGATGAAACACCAGTAGCTACTCAGCAGAGCACCTTAAGAGCATTGTTTATCCACTTATGGGGTTGGTCCCGTGTCATGTAGTGTAATTTTGTTAGCTATACGTATTTGAACAAATAGCCAGATCTGCTTGATATGAATTCTACAACAAATCTGGTTAAGCCAGTTTTATTGATTGTTTCAGAAGCTATTGCCACATGTGACCGCGCTCATGCATCACCAAAATCACAGGAGAATAGATAAGAAATATAACTCAAGTCAACTAGGCCTTGAATTTTAACCTCTTGGAGTGGGGTACAGTGAACATGAAATCCATTTTGGTTGTAGGGCCACGTCCTGTTAGATTATAGTTCATGGTATTGTCTCACTGCCACGCATTTCCTTTTGGCCTTTATGTTTTCCTTGTTCCACCTTTAGCGCAATCAAATGATTCGTCATTTCATGTGCATCGAGTCATTTACTAAGACCAAACCATTTTGAAGGAGTCCCCTTCATCTTCTGAATTGGTGCTGTAACAAGCTTCTCGAAAAATGAATTTCAATTGCTATGGGAAAATGAAAGAACATTGTAGGAGAAAAAGAACAGGTACAAGCTAGCTAGCTTTACTCTGATGCTTCAGAGTGAGAATTTGAGTTTAATTGCTTGATTTGTGCTGTTGGGAGACTTTTGAGATATATTTGATTCAAAATATTTGTGGATTAACATGAAGGAAACAGATGGTTCTACTAATGAAGCATCTGGCTGAATAATAAATTACTATAGTTGAGTAGTCAGATGCAAAGTATTCCCATTTACAAATTGTTAGTTGCTCTCTGATTCGGATTTGAAAGTAATTTACTTCCTCTTTGAACAAGAAAACTAAATAATGTTTTCAGAAGTAACAAAACTACTTCGAACATGCAAAGTAAATGAGGCCTTAAGTATTGGCAAAAGTTGGATCTGGACTCAGTTCATCCCTTTGCAACACCTGAGAGTGACAAGACCAGTCCTAAGCATTATAATTGGCTAATATGTTGGCTAATCTAACATGACCTACAGTGGAATTTACATCCTAAAACCATACATATGTGATCTGTCCATCAACTGTTTTCTAAAAGCACCTCTAAAGAGTGTTTTCATACATAACAAATATGTGTTTTTTTTAATGAAAGTTCAAGCAAACACACACACACTATATATGTATTATGCCTCCACCAAGGCTCGAACACTCAACCTCCCCATTTGGGAAGGGGAGCTTATACCATGTAGGCTTGTGATATGATTTGCTTCTTTGTGTAGGTGGTGGATCACACAACGCATAACTTCAAGAAGAAAAATGGGGTGGTCTTTCTGTTGGATGAGTAGTTAATTTTTTCCTTCAGTGTTTCACATTTGAAGTCATTTCAGATGCTACTTTGTACTATAGAATGAAAGCTAAATACGTTACATGATTGATTTAGGATTGAAAATAGTGTTTTGCTCATAAGCTGGTACTATAGATTGAAAATAGCATTTTGCTCCTAAGCTGATGCTATCAGCCTATATAGTTAAAGTTAAAGCATGTTGGGGGTCAATTACTGCATACTCATCCTATTCTGCTGTTTATTTATGCTCCTTTTCTCTGTGTTATTTGTATGGTCTTTACGGTTTTGGATTTCTTCTTCTTCTTATTTTTTCTTTTCTTTTCTGGCTTGAATATGGGTGTTTTGTTAGGAAGAGTGCGGGCAAATTTCATAAGAGAACTGTTGACAAAACCGTGCTAAGTATGAGTCATAAGAGAACAGTGACGCAGCAGGATCGAGTAGGATTTAGCTTGGTTAAATAGCTAGTGATTGCCCTCCTGAACGTAGGTGACCATATGCAGTAACTGAACCTAATGGATGATTTTGGCAGTTTGGACATTGAAAAATGTTTTATGGAGTTCGACAACGATTTTAAAAGTAGAGAAAACATGGGGATTATAACTTGCAAGGATCTCTATCCATGAAAGTTAAAAGAGGATAGGTTCCCGTCAAAACAATGAAGAGGGGATCAATCCCTTTGAGGTGAGGATCGATTCCCTCGAGTTAGGATGATTGATATTCTAATGATTGTGATTAGGAGAATAATTATGAATGTACAGAAGAGACAGCGAGAGAACTAAATTGCTACTTTCTTGCATTATGATTTACACATAATACTTCCTCCACCTGATGAGAACTTACCTTGAGATTCTTGTGATATTTTGCCAAAATAGTGTAAAATAAAAAAAAAAAAACTCTCTATTGTAATAAGATGAACTACTGATGGACCCTTGCTTTACCAAAATTAGTGCTTCTTGTTTTATCACGGAATTTCTTTGTAGAATGCAGTGAGAAAATCTGTCCTTGACAAAGAAGAATATATGTGAAAACCACTTGGGCATCTCTTCCTTCTGAAATTGCTGGGATTTTGAGCACCCGTTATCTTTCTTCATCCTCGTCTCCTAAATGTGACTCGGTCTAATAATCGTACATTGGGTTCATTCGAGCCGTGAGCACCCAATATCTATTCCATTTGTATTTCCTTGACCAGTTGCATCTCAAGATGAGAATTTGTGGTAGATATTGACATTTGTGCCGAACATTATGACAAACAAGGTAGTAAAATATATTAAAGATAATATATATATATATATATGTATATCTTTAGCTTATGAGTTGTGTTGAATGATTCGGAAATAACTCAAGTTGAGTTGATGTGTAACTTTCGAATGTATACATGAGCCTAAGTTGATTGATTATGAGCTGAGGTGTTAAAAGAACATCCGTAGAGCATCTTGGGTGCAATCAAAAGTAGAGAATATTTGTATAAAGTTGAGCAAAGGAGAGTCGGTGTGAGTAAAAAGTGAAGTAACAAAATTATGGATCCCATCAGTTGTTCTCTGTTGTATTGTCCACTGTAGGAGAATGTTATAGACTATAATCCATTTTGACACCATTGTTTAATCATGGGTTGTTCATGTTTTTGTCTTTTTCTCTCACATCACTTTTAAATTAATTATATAATAATAAAGTAGACAATGAAAATATGAGTTCCAAACGGTATAACATAATCTAAAATGCATATCTATCTACTTTTTTAAAATATGCTTACTTGGCACTCTATTATTTTAAAAGTAGGTAGATAGTATGCTTATTCCACACCGGATGCTCTAAACAATTAATTTTGTGAGCTTGATTTCTTTTCTTTTTTTAACTCTACTTTTATGATTTAAGCAGAAAATATAATTTATAATAATCAACAAATAAAAAAAACCCAACAACTCTCATTGTCATTTTCCATTTTATAATTATATACGAGTGTTTTATTTTTATTTTTATAAAAATTGTAAAACGTATAAATAACTCAATTTGGTTGCTCAAATGATGTCTACGCCATTCACGTTGCAATTTATAAACTAAGTACACAGGTTAAATGTATTGTTGTTAAAAAATCTCCATTTATTATTCATAATTAATTAATGAATTAAGCCTTCTCAAATTCAAATTTTCAATCTGCAATTCTTCACCTTTATTATTTATACCTGCATCCTATTCTGATGGACAGGTAGGATGGTTAAAATTCATTTAAATATTTACATATTTACAAATCCTCTACAATCTTCTTTAATTTACTAATTTGAACAAACTTTTCAAAATCTTAAAATTTTCATCTCTCTACAACATTTCATACTTTCTTATTATTTTTAAAATTTTATATTATTAAAGAAAAAATATATAAGTTATAATAATAAAAAATAGTTTATATGTGGTCAAATTTTTATTGGTGAAATTATATATATATATATATATATATATATATATATATATATAACAAACATATATTTTTCCATTTTTGTATTTTGTACTGGATTTTTTTAATGTTTTTAAACCAAAAGAGAAAATTATACATGTACCCGTAAACATATTTTTTCACCAAGGTATTTTATAACTACAATAGGCCACAAGAATATATATATATGTACATAACCTCGTGGTTTCAAAATCTCCATTTATTATTCACAATTAATTGATCAATTAAGTTTCGTCTTCTCAAATTCAAATTTTCACTCTGATTTCTACACCGTCTGCTATACCTTCTATTTGCTTCTATATATACATACATACATATATGATATATGTGTGTGTTTGTGTGTGTGTGTGTGTATATATATATCCAAATTGGCTTCAATTTTGATGTATGATCAACTTATTGCAATGGACGAAGGTGGTAGTAAGAAGAATGTTGAAGCAGAAAAGCTTCCACTGATAGATATTTTGTCAGAGGACGATTTTCTTGTAGCGTCTCCCTTCCGTGATGATACTCCGGAGGACTTTCGACTTTCAGGTGCTCTTAATCTTCCTTCTTCTCCCTCTATAATTATTGTGTGTATATATGTCTATATTTGTGTAATTGGGCAAAAAAATTAAAATGGAGCAGATGTAATTGGGCAAAGAGAACAGAAGCTTCTTGTATCTTCTGAATCAATGGAGCCAGGAAGAGCAATTAACTTTCGCAAAAGTTTAGCTTGGGATAGTGCCTTCTTCACTTGTGCAGGTATGCTTTTGTGTCCATAGAAAACCCACAATGTTTAGTTAGTATCATCAATCATATATATATATATATATATAGAAAGTTCAAGCAAACGAACAAACCCCCGCAATATTAACACTAATTAGGCTCCAAATGTAGTATATTTTTTTCGAAAAAGATTTTTCTTTTTCAGGTTTTCTTTTTTTATTAATATTTTTACTTTTTCAGTGCTCGGCAAAGGTTTAGGTTGAGGTGGAGTCCATCTGGCGTGTAAAATAACTTGCTGAAAATTAAACAAGAAAATAAAAAATAAAAATAAAAAAATCTGAAAAAGATTTTAAATCCAAACAAACAAAAGCCTAAACCTCAAAGAGAGGAGAGATCGTAACATCATCAGGAGGGCTAATGCACATTGGTAATCCCATATAACATTGAGGCAAGAGAAGCAACCAAAATTATCATAGGATGAAGCTGTTAGAAATTATTTTTAAAAAAAATTAAACATAATAGGTGAGATGACAAGTAATAGAAAAGAATAAAAAATGAGAATTCGCGGGTGTCCGACTCCATTCATATAGTGATTAATACGAGGATGATGACTATGAATCAAATACAATATTGCCTCATTTCATAAATTTGCAGTAAGTTGTAAATTCTAAGTAATAAACACTTTCTACTACTTAGGTGTTCTGGATCCTGAAGAGTTGCACATCATTAACAAAGGATTTGACAAAGCTACCACCCATATTTTACCTGGGATTCGAGAAGATGTGCGAGTGAGGCGTCCTGCTGACTCCGATTCTACATTCGACTGTGATGGTTTCTGTCTGGAAAGCACTGAGCTCGACATTTTTGAAGATATAAGAGTGTCCAACATCCAGAGATCCAGTAAAACATCCATTGTTGCTAATACAGGCATACAGAATATCCACTGTAAGTATGCTGCAGTATCAGAACCTGCTCGATTCGTAACTTCGTACATTCATTTTGGGCTTTCTTGTATGAATGCAGTTCAGTCCTGCCATGATTATTTAATCAGGAGATAGCAAAGATTTCATTGAATGATCGTGTATATATGTGCCGTGAGTCTAAAACTGGCTTTTTAGGCTTACTGTCATATTTTTAGAGGTTCATAAAATTTTTGCTCAATAATGTGGTGGCTTCTTTTTCTTCAGCATTAAAGAAATTGAAGGTTGGCTCTGGAATGGTATGTGTTAATGGATTGTAGCTTTTTCGTTGTAAAACTATTTGAATAATTCCAGAAGAAATGAAGTTCTCTTTTCAAATTTTAGGTGAATTCCATGCCAGCTTCAAGATTGCCAGGATCGGAGAAAACTAAGGAGGCTTCTCTTGGTCGACGAATTCTCAAGGTACGTGTCAATTGAGTAGAGTATGATGTTTGCTTCTTTTATACTGTATTTGTATTTTGTACCACACAATGCTTTATAGATGACAAGTTTGGCATTTGCTAAAATGGAAACAGAACTCCAGATTACGAATTAACTCACTTGAATTCATCATTGATCATGAAGCAGACAGCTAGAAGTGGAGAATCCAGTACGAACTCCCCCTCAACACGACGAACCAAAAGTGCTATGTTGGATGCATACAAAGCCAAAATGGAAAACATAACTGCAAAGTTTGGATCTGGTAAGAAAATTTTCTGTGGATATAGATTGGTTTTTTCACAAAAACTGAAGATTCTTTCTTCTGTTTCTAAATAGAATTTTGCATTAAATGGATGCGAATGTTACAGGTCAAAGCTCAATGGTGTTCAAGAAATCTGGTTTTGAGGACTCTTGTAGTCATGCCATTAGCTCTACACCATCCCCTAAACCATCTTCTTCAGTTTCTTTCACTGGCGCCAACAATTTAACAATTTCTTGTTCTTCACCTGGCACGCCTGGTGGTGCTTCATCCTCTAAATCTTCCTCGAACTCTTTGAGAAGAAAAACATATTCCAGAAAAACTAAAATGGATGTATCTGTTTCAACCTCTAATACTCCTTCAAGATACTCCGCAAGAAGCAAAATCAGGTCGGAAAATCCTAGTCCTCTCTCAACGCATTATAAATCCATTTCCTCTTGCACTTCTCTTGCTAGCTCTATCGATGGTTGCTCCTCAGAATCATCATCATCGGCTTCCACTGCCAATCAAAGATCTAGCAATTCAAAGTCTATTCTTAATACTACTAGTAGAGGGCCACTACAGTTGCAGAATCACCCTCGTGATCAATCCTCTCTTCGTGAAGGAAGTCAATCCATTGTTTGTGTCCAAAACGCTTCAAGGGGAACCGATACTGTTGCAGCAAAATCAACAAGGGATTTCAAACCTTCAGGGCTTCGATTGCCATCACCGAAGATTGGATTCTTTGATGAGGTCAATTTTATTTCGTTTTTTGTTGATGAGTATATACCATTAGAAGTGTCATATTCCATCCCATTTTCCTTTTGAAGAGAGTATTTTTCAAGTGCATGAAATTTTTCTGGTTGTCAGGAGAAACACATGGTGCCAACAGTAAGAGGAAGTTCTCAGCTTGATTTTGAAGTACGAAGTGCTTTGCCTTGTATTGATAGGGATACAAAGAACAAAACGGATGATATGCTTCAACCAGCAAGAACTTTACTCGAGACTCTGCATATGAAGCCCGGTTCTCAGCAAACTGGAGTGCTACATCTTTCCTCGGGCATGAAGCCTAGGAATGCAGCACGATTTCAAGAGCTAGATAATGCTTCTAAAGTGTCCGGCACATCAAGGACCAAAAGAAATTGCTTAGACACCTCCCTAAAAGCTCAAATCGATACATCTCCTGCAGTGGACAGTGAGAAATGCTTGAAAACTAGAAAAGTGACTGCAGGAGGACTGGATGCAAGAAAATTTAGCCCACACTCTAGTTTGAGAGAAGAAAGGAAAGGAAATGGAGGGATTTTGAAGAATAAAACAATCATAGAGAGCAAATGGCACATCCGCTTAAGAGGCAATAAGATCAGTACCAACAAAGGTGAAACTGGTGTCCACAGTGAAGAAAGCAGCCAGAACCATCCTGAGAATGATCTGCATTTACTTCAAAAAACCGAAACAGAAAATTTATCTGATTTTGAAGATCAAGTTGATGGTTTAAGAAAATACTTAGAAGTCATTGATCTCAGCAAGGACTTGGTGACCGAGCACAAACGGAAAAGGGGTTGCTCTTACTCCCATTGTTATGACAATTCCCTTGAAAATAGAAGCACGCTCTATCTTCCCACAAGTGTTGAGTTTTTACCTCGCACAAGGACTCCATTGGCAGAGAAGAATTCTGTTTGCAATGGAGGTGGGGTGTTTGGTGGTTTAACAGAATCAACGACAGAAAAGGCGGCGGAGAAGGCGTCAGCTTTACCCTCTTCAGATAGCACTCAGAAGGAGAATAGCTGAGCCTTTCGAGCTCAATACAGGACTTTGGAGATTGGAGTAATGAATATGGACACGCATTGGAGATTGGATATGAGAAAACTTTCAGATTGCACATACTCTTGTCGATTCGAATGGAATATTAAACAAAAGAGGTCATTTCTTGAAATAAAAATCAGTAGTTTCATGATTTATTTGGAAATGCAATGAAAATGGCATAAACATCAGAAGGCTTTTAAACTTTTGTAGTCCGAATTGATGACTTTTCCATGTGTTTTGAGTTGTAGTTGTTCTATGTTTCATATATTTTCATTCTGATTGTGAATTTGTGAGATTGGTTAGTTGTGCAAAAGTCCACTCAGATGCTGGATTTGTATTTTGATTAGAACTCAGGTAAACTCTATTTTTTTTTTTTTTTTTTTTTTTTTTGGGTACAAAATTCAAAATGAAAAAGGTCGTCAACCCCAATACTGAGATGGTGGATTTGTATTTTGATTAGAACTCTGGTAAACTCTTTTTTTATTTTTTTTTTATTATTATTATTATTATTTTGGTACAAAATTCAAAATGAAAAAAGTAGTCAACCCCAATTATGAAAAATCAATTCAATATATTGATGCTATACTTAAATTTAAGATTGACCGACTCCATTATGTTATTGTTAGCAAATACCACTATTTTTTGTTTTGCAACTTCCTAATCATTCCTGCAGGAGATTCGGACCCAAACCTCATATTTCAATTTAAACCCAATAAAATTTCATAAATCTTTTAACGCTCTTGAATAGGATATTATCATTATTTTGATTTGCATACAAATGAGGTTCAAATCCAAGGGTTTTGTTAAGGTTTACTTCATTAAAGACAACAAAACCCAAAAAAAAATGAAGACCTGTCCTGGAGTCCTTTTTGTAGTCTAAACATGCCATTGAATGAAGTATATCACTTTTCCATTACCAAGAGTTGTGAGCGACTTCACTTTGGACACTTCAATGAGACCTGGTAGCTTATAAGTAACAAAACCGTCCACAACAACATAATAAATCAAATATGATGATCGTGGATTTTAAAGCAACCGAAATGAAATGATATTTGTGTGCCAAAATCACTCTTTGTAATTGTCTACCAAAAGCACTATGTAGAAGTGCAACATCTCCATCAAGATGACATAATAGTCAAGGAAAAAGAAATCAATATGGCATAGCAAATCAAGAGGTAAAGATAAGCTTTCCCAACAAAACCTAAGACCTGGGCTTCTCCTTTTTCTCTTTGAAGAGAGCAAGAAGGGACACTCCGGATACCTTAACAACCTTGAATCTGACCCCAGGAATATCTCCGACAGCATGCCCCTTCCGTCCAAACCCTGCAATCAGCACTTCATCCTGCAAACATCAAGTTCTCAAATAAAGTTATGCAAAGAGAGAAAATACTACGTGATTTTAGAAAAATAAAGCCTCAAACAAACTTCACTTGAATCAACCCTGAAATTCAATTTTCAAATGAAGTTATCCTCTGTTTAAAAATAAAACTGCATGCAGCATGCCACAAGGGAATAATAAATTTGTTGGTACACAAGATATGGATAAATGGAAAGGGAATTCATTCAATTTCAAGGACTACCTATATGGAAAAGTACTTTATTAAGCCATTAAAGATGATTTACACTAGTCTTCTCGAAGACTTACATTCTCCTCAATATAGTTTAAGCAACCATCATTGGGTACAAATGCAGCGATCTTCTTCCCATTCTTAATCAGCTGCACACGAGCACATTTTCTGATGGCAGAGTTCGGCTGCTTAGCCTCAATACCACTGCATAAATCAGTTAAGTGCTGTTAAGTTCCTAATTGATAAGTGACTTTAACATTATCATAATTATGGCCAACTAACTAAAGATACTTGACCGTTACACTTACATCTTTTCTAGGACAATGCCTTTTGCATGCGAAGACCCAGCAAATGGCTTCTTCCATTCATTTCCAAGATGGGACTTTTTATAAGCCTTGTCAGCCCACCTTTGCCTTCTACGGTGGGACTTCAGCTTACGCCCAGCTCCCATTCCACGTGTCTTTCTGCAATAATAACACACACACTATCTTGCATCATGTACCATTCACCAATCTAGCATTGATTAATAATCCATGACAAAAATACAAACCCATAAAGAAACAATATTCAAACGTACATTAATAAGTCACTTAACTTGATTTCATTGTGACTCGCAAATACGTGATTAAACCACTTAACTCTCTCGTTTAATTGTAAGTGTAACTCAAAACACAAACAAGGGTAATCCAATCAGTGATTTAAACTTTGGAACTTGCTCAAGTCTTTATACAATTCACTATTTACTGTCCCAACAACTCCTACTGCAGCTCCCACCAGAATCCAACAACATTAGAGGGAGAGACATGCATATACCCCTTCAGATGCTACGGTTATTTTCTAGAACCTTACCCATTAAAGGGTCTCCAATCAAACAATTATCATCAGCATTTACGAATCCAACAATCACTTCTCGTTGTTGAGTCATTCTCCCTCTCATTTTCCATCTAAATTATATAACACTGGTTTCTCATGGAACACAATTCACACAACAAGAATAATACAACTGCCGTTCATTGATAATATATAAATATATATACGTAGTATATATCACTCCAGTTCTGAGTCAGCTAACTGCCGTTTATTGAGCTCAAATTCTCACATAAAAACATACAGTTGCTCTGAAAAATTACACCTCCAGATAAAATGGTCAAGTTTTCACATGAATTTGAATTAAATAAGTATCAAAATATTTATCCAGGAGCAATTTTCCTTCGAAGCAAACAGAACCTAAAAGAAAATTTTGATCCAGAACTGGGGGAATAAATGCCTTGTATTTCAGCTACTCAGTTCTATAGGAACCCCAAAAACAGCTTAACAACGTCAAATCATTGAATTTATACATCCATTTACATTGGGAACTACAATAACGAAACACTCAGATATCCAAATTCATATCTTTTCATAGGAAATGATTAATTACATAATTGCATACTCAAATCGAAATGTCTAAACCGAGCATTCAAACAAACGTTGAGATCTCAGAAACTATCTAACATGTATGTGTGCGCACACGTGAATATATAAACAGAAGAGCAAGGGTTCTTACCCCATGGTTGCTGAAAGTAGATGTTCCTGGCCTGTGACAGACGATGCTAGCTCGAGTAAGCGAGAGAGAGAAGCCGCTCTATGAAACCCTAACCCTAAATTTGTTTTCGTGGAGATATATATATAGAGAGATATATACACTACAGTCTCTATGTACAGTATTTCTTCTGTAAGCATGTACACTTGCATAATATGACGAAAATGTCCCCAGGCTTCGGATGCTTAGAAAACGATCCGGTTCGGATTCGTCTGTTTGAAAAAAAGATCAAATTCGAGCTATTTAGTCGGATATTTAGTCGGTGGAGCTTGCCTGTGAGGATATTTTAAATAGCAATTTTTGTAATGGCACAATTATGGTTTTTTTAAGTAGAAATTATGTTTATATGCAATTTGTTAAATTATGCTAATTTAGTTTAAAATATTATGTTAAATAAAAATATATATATTTGGTTGAATACACATATTTTTGTTAAATAAAAATACAAAAATAAAATTAAAAAATAAAATTCATAGTTATGATTACACCCAAATATATATATATATATATATATATATATATATATATATTTGGTTGAAGAAATAAAAATGATAAGCCTTATTTTTTTTTTTTCATAAATGGTATAGATATGGATAAAGACTTTCAATTATTTGGTGATTGTTTTGTTTGGATATAATAGCTGTTAAAAAAATAAAAAAGACATAATAACAAAAATGAGTTAACATAATTAATCTCAAATATTTTTATAGGAAGAAATGGTTGTGTGCCACATCTGTTTTGCCTGCACGAAAATCTATATTTTGAAGAGTTAAAGTCATAAAATCACCTTCTATTTTCAAAATCGTGCATAAATTTTCAGTCGAATTAAAAAAAATCTCCAAAACTAGCAAAATTTATCAAGTGATCCCAAACTTGTGGTCGACTCGTTAAGGAGGTTGTTAAATGTCAAATTTGACCTTACTATTTAATATTAAATTAAGAGTTAATTTCATTGACCCCCCTTCAGATTTGGCCAAATATCACATTGAAACATTTTTCGAAAATAATTATCACTCACATTATAAACGTTTGTTCCGTTTTTCGCTTACATCCCAAAAGTTACTTTTCAGGTGTGTCAGATACTTTTTTGTATGTAAAATGATATTACTACCCTTCTAACTATATGTTAATTTAAATAAAAAAAAAAAAAAAGGTGTTGAAATGACTTAAATACCCTTTGACCTTCATTATATAAATTTATAATAATTCTTTATATATATATATATATATATAATAATTTTAAATTGGAGATGGGTGATAATTTTAAATTGGAGATGGGTGACCTTCATTCTCACTGGTATCACCTAATGAGTGCTTAAAGCGGGTAAGTGACCAGCCTAAGATCTATTTAGACTTGAAGGTTGGGAGGATACCACCAGTTTTCTCCACCTTTTCTGTGATACCCCCGGATTTCCGGATGCGGGTTGGCCAGGCCCACGCCCGATTACCCGAGGATATCAAAACAATTAGCAATTTAATGAACACAGAATACAATATAGAAAACAAGAATGAATAAAATTTTGCTGAAAAGAATCTAAAATGATAATCCAATAATTGAAAACCTCAGAATAAATAATTTCATTGATAATTAAAACTATTTTGATACAACTGATCCACCACGAATGGAAATCGTTCTCCAATTTATACAACTCGGGAATCCATCTAGTGGACCCCTAAAAATATCCAATGGTACTCAAAAGACTGGAACAAAACCCAAGTCTTAACATGAAATAAAATCCTACGCCATCAGTAGAGTGAATAACTGTATCTGCTCAGCACGATCAAGCTCTACAGCCCAGAACTGACGAACACCTGAAAAAAATAATAAAAGGGTGGGTCAGGCCCACTAGCAAGTTCTAATCTAACTGCAATCCATACAGTGACCCGATACGCAGATACACCATAGATACCTCACAATATCTATCTAGTCCATACATATATATATCCACACTATGGGACATTCACTGAACTACAGTAGGGGTCTCAACCTGAATAGAAGGCAACATGCGAATACGCACCCAAAGGTGGGCATGAGTACCTAGACCTAACAGGGTACACCCAACCTACTATAACCAGCTACACGTCCACTGCATATACGCACCCTAACCAACAAGTTTGAGACTCAAGCTCAACTCGTGGTACCATAAACATATATATCTAAACTCCGTTCCTAACCATTCACAAGAAATCCAATAAGTCATTCGGCGTATTCAACCGTACCGACTTATAAATATATAAGGAGGATTTATTTAACAACCCGTTCCCTTATTCCAAAATAGGCAGGACTGAGTATTTAAATCAGTCTGTCTCTAGTATGCCACCGTCCTATACCGGTGCATACAATCCACAAAGTCCATATAATTGATAGAACCAGTCATACTGTTCACCAATTAAAATCCATAAGGTAGGAATTAGAATTTTGAGCTAAACCATACCTAGTATGCCACCGTCCCATACCGGTGCATACCATCCTCCATATCCATGTAAATTACAACATTCAGAGGATAAGCAAGTAATTTACAATGCAAAACCAAACCCAGATAATTGACAGAATTTTAATGTGAGAATTCAGCAATTAAAATCCAATACATAATTCCAAATAATTGGTCAAATTTAATATAAGAATTCAACAATTATAATCCAATATATGATTCCAAATAATTGACCAAATTAAGTATAAGAATTCAGCAATTATGCTCCAATACATAATTTCAGGTAAATTACAAGGCATAAATAATAGGCATGTAATTTATAGTTCAAAACCAACCATCCACATCGTTGTAGAATAGTATTTAGTATTTCAACAACTTAAAACCAAAACCATGTAAATTACAGACTACGAATGATAGTACAGCAATTTAAAATCCAAAACCAATATCCAATTAATTACAGAAGATTTTTAAATGTTTCCGCAATTTAAATCCAACCAAATTAACCATATATTTGTAGGGGATGAATTAATAAATCAACAACTAACTTCCAGAGCCTGCATAGATTACATCTAACACATCAATGACCCCATAATATATTTAAGACCATTTTATAAATATATTACATCCCACTCGAATGCCTAAAAATAAACTTAAGCATTTAAAACTTCATCCATCCACCAACCGTATACAATTGTACATAAGTGTTATACAGTTTGATCCGTTAATTTAGAATTAACCTTAAATTAATTTAGGGTCTTAATAACACCCAAAAATTAACTATTTAATCCCTCCGTGAAGTCTCATTAAATTTCTAAAATTTAATCAAGCCATTCAGTTCCTTTCTCTGTTAGTAACATGCACCGTTGTATATTTTTACACTGCTTCCTCCTTTGTCTTAAAGACTTAAACCATGCAACATTAAGTTTAATAACACTTAAAATTAACTACTTAGATCCTCTGTTAAGTCCCTACAGTTCATTAGAATCACTCAAAAGCCCAAACAGTGCTCAAAACACCAAACAGAGCCCTAAAACCACTTTCTGGACGTAACAACAAATTTGAGCCGGCTCTTGGAATGGAGGAGCCGGCTCTTCCCCTATTGGAGCCGGCTCCAATCCCCCAGGAGCCGGCTCTTGCTGAAGGGGAGCCGGCTCTTAACTTCCTAGAGCCGGCTCTCTCCCTCTTGAGAGCCTCCAGTTCAGTCTCTGCTCCGTTTCCGTCAATCTGCTCCTTCTCCGATCAATTCCTACCCCTCTGCTTGTTTCTTAAACTGATCTAAAGGATCTAATACCCTCCTGATAGCATCCCCAAGGTTTGATTATAGCAATCTAAATCAATTAACAGAAGTAAACTTGTGCAAAACTGAAACCTCATGCATAGATTACAACGAAGCTAAAAGCAACAGAGATCTAAAATATTAATAGCAACCCTCCTATGAGATTTACATAACTCCCGTAGTCTTTCCATACGTAGTTTACAGTAGTTGCAATAAAAACAGAGACAAAACTACGACCAGAACCCTCATGCTCAAAGGACATAAAACTGAACCAACTTGCATGCACTGTAACAGATATTGCAGAAATCATCACAGAAATAATTCAAAGCATACATATGATTAATTTGATGTATAACATACATGAATGATTTAGTTATTAATTTCCTTAAAACCCTAGAGCATATCTAGGTGCACAGAACACGGTTCAAAGGGAAAGAGGAAGATAGAACTTGCCTGAATAGGTTTGCAAACAAACCCTTGTTGCCGTTGGTCTCAGTTTTTCCGACATCCACTGAAACTTGTCTAACCTCCTAGAACCTCTGCTCCTTCCTTCTCCTTGGTTAAACCTTGGAACCCCAGTCGAAATTCTCACAAACTGCTCTGTTCTCACCAAAACTCCCTCTGTAACTCTCTCTATTTGGTAGACTTTTCCGTGTAAAAGTTACGACAATATGTAACCCTAGGTTTAACATATACTGAGGTATTTATAATTGCAAAAATTAAAACCCTAATCCACAGAGCCCTAACTTCGTCGGCCCACAAAGTAACCCAGTTTAGTTACATATCAGATGCTTCTGAGACGGCTCCAAAAACCCTAACTAAAACGTATCTAAAACCCTAGTTAATGGAAATTACATAATTACCCTGTTCAAAAATTAAATACTTAATAAATAATTAATTTAATAATACCCATTAATTAAATCAAATAAGCAAGCAACGAATCACTTAAAACACATAAAATAAATAAAACAATTAATTAAAATAAACAAACAAATAAAGAATTAAACCCTTAATTAAAATAAACAAACAATTAAAAAAAATAACACAATGAATTAAAATAAACAAACAATTGGACACATAAGCATGTAGATACAAAATCAATTTAAAATGCACACAAATAAAATTTAAATTCCATTTTTATCCCTTTTGAAATTAGGGGTATTAAATTTTCTATATATATATATATATATATATATTCTAATTTCATTTTCTTCTTCATTAGTGCCGGTTGTGATACTCCTCGACTCTAAAACCACGGGTGATCAAGTCCGAGCACATAATACAAGGAATATCAAATAATTAATATTTAAGCAAGCATTTAAATACAAAATGAATTAAGAATAAATAAATAAGCTGAAAAGAAAACTAAATAAATAAATCCTCACTTAATAATCCTCA